GATGATAATTTGAAGATGAAGAAGAGGTTTTTATGGTGCAGTATAAAACACAGTTTAATGACATTGTAACATTTGTGGAACGGGCTGATATTCGACCTGTGCCCCCTAAAGATGGTGGTGGGGTGTTTGGTGTGGGTGATAAAGTGGATGTTTTGAGTGATTGGTGTTGGTTGAAAGGTATGATCTTGGGGGTTTTGTATGAGGGTGATTATGATGTTCCTATTGAAGTTAGTGAGTCTTGTGTAAGGGTTCATAGAGATTGGTGTAATGGGTCTTGGATTCCTCCTTTCGATCATCATGTTCAGGTACAAATAATTTACATAATTTGTCCTATTAATTGATTTTGTTTAGTGAACTTTTGTGTAGGGTTTCAGATTACTTGATTTTGTTTAGTAAAAATTTGAAATTTGTTTTAATTTTATGGGTGAATTTAGGGTTTAAGAGTTCAATATGACATGAATTTTGTGGGTCGAACTGATTTTATGCATATGATTTAATTTAATATAATACCCTTTGTTTTTAGATTAAGTAGTGAATAAGATTTTTGGATGTTGCTTATATAGTTGTATGATCTTGGTTTTTGACTTTCAGAAAGACTCATTGAAGATGGAAAAGGATGTTGTTCCTAAGCCTGGGACAGATGCTGCAGTTAGATCCGCCAATGGCAAGCGAGTGAGGGTCGTTTTTAAGCGTACCAAGGGATTAGAGGAGGCAAAGTTTAGCCCTGGGACAGCTGTTGAGGTTAAAAGTGATGAAAATGGATATCAAGGTTCTTGGTATGCTGCTACTGTTGTTGGTTCAGCTGGAGTTGGCAAGTTTCTGGTGGAATATCAGACCCTTAAGACCGATGGTGAGTCGGATCTCCTCAAAGAAGTTGCAAATGAGCAGGATATCAGGCCTTGCCCTCCAGAGATTTCCCATAGCAATAGATATAAGGAGTTTGAAGAAGTAGATGCTTGGTATAATGATGGATGGTGGGAAGGTGTAACATATGAAGTTCTTGATGGCTGGAAATACATTGTCTACTTTGCTACAACAAAAGAGAAGTTGGTCTTTCAGCATCCAAACCTGAGACCTCACCAGAATTGGGTTGAAGGAAAATGGAGTTTGGCTTTCATGGTATGATTTTCATTTGTAAATGAATTCCGTTGACCGTACTCTCGGTAGCAGTAGTCAAGATATTAGCTCTATAAAATGAAGCTACTATCTGCAATAGCCATACTTCTCTAACTTTTGAATGCCTGAAAACGAGTTATGGCTGTTTTGATCATAAAAAATTATCTGAGTCCTGTTGTAATAGATTAATTACTTGGCATTGAAGTTTGGATTTTTTTTACCTTTTCTCCTGGGTCTTCACTTGTCTCACCTATCTAATTGCCTACACTGCAGAAATTAACAGAGGAGAAGAGGTTCAATGCAGAAAAGCCACCACAAGAAATTTTTAGGGAAGATATGCTGGTAGAGGTCAGAAGTGATGAAGATGGTTGCCAAGGATCCTGGTACGCAGCCACTATCATCAAATTTATAGCAAAGGATAAGTTTCTAGTGGAATATGGCAGTCTGAAACTAAAGGATGAGAGCCAGCCTGTAACAGAAGAAGTTTCTGCTATCGATGTTAGACCTTTGCCTCCTTGTACAATGCACAGTGGTCGTTACAAGTGTCTTGAGGAAGTTGATGCCTGGTGGGCTGGTGGATGGTGGGTAGGCGAAGTCTCCAATGTTCTGAATAGAAAGAAGTAATTGTGCACATCGCTTCTACAGGTGATAAACAGGAATTTTTGAGATCTCACCAAGATTGGATTCATGGAAGATGGATAACCGACAAGGTAATAGTTCTCCTCTCTTTATTTCGTTTCATAGATCTTGTCTTTATTTGATTAGACATCCAAGTTCAATGATGTTAGGCCAACTATGGAGCATATCATGAGTGTTGCACTTCTGCTGATTAAATGCAGAATATTCTTAGCCAATTCGATACAATATTACAAACAGTTTCTTCTAATATGAACTGTTTAATGGGAAATTTTTATAGTTCGCCAGTAGTAAGGGTTTGCCATTAATTGCTTTCGGCTAGATAATGGGGATTCTTCTTTTCTCCTGTGCTCAATGGAAAGCAAAGAGCCTAATATATGTCCAATAATGTTGTTATTAAGGCACTCGATGTTTTAAGTCAGCATATACCAATTTTTCTACGTATGCTGAATCCTGAGCTTTTGCTTTTCAGCTTCCGTCATCTCACTTAAAGTTGAAAAATTCATCAACAGAAAGGAAATACACTCAAAGCGAAGCTGGTAGAAGTTATTGCAGAGGTACAATGGTTGAGGTTAAAAGCGATGAGCCAGGCTATGAAGGATCCTGGTATTCTGCAGTTACTGTTAGCTCAACAAGAAAGGGCAGATTTTTGGTAGAGTATCTGACACTCAAATCAGAAGACGAAAGAAGTCTTCTCAGAGAAGAGGTCGAGGCTCAAATATAAGACCTTTTCCTCCTGACATGGAAGTGGATGGCTGCTATTTTCTGCTTGAAAAAATCGATGTCTGGTATAATGATGGGTGGTGGGCAGGTGTGATATCTAAACTTCTTGCCAATCTTAAATATATGGTGTACTTTGAGGCAACCAAAGAGGAATTAGAATTCGATCATATAAATTTGAGGACTCATCAGGAATGGATTAATGGGAAATGAATCACTACAGCAATTAAGGTATGATTTCTTACAGTTATAGATGTATTCTCTATTTTATGTTAACTTTAGCAGTTGGTTCATAGATATTTTATTAACAACACCCTCGTTTCCTAATCCAAGCTTCCAGCAATCAGCAATGTGTATATATGACCTATTGGCCTTATAAACTCTTAACTAATACTGCTGCCATCTCTATACTTGAGCCTGTTATACACTCGCCGTCCCAAAATTGGCACAATTGTAATTGGCACAATTGGAATGTTGTTACTTGTTTGTATCAAAAGAAATGAAAGTTTGTAGAAGAAAGATGCTAACATATGCTTGTCAACTTTGATATTGCAGGACACTGGTTTTTTAACTGAGATGTTATTTCAGAGGGATAGACTATAGAGCAGGCTGCAAATTCGGCATCAGTCATTGTTTATGGGAGTCAATTTCTTCCAGTAATTTGGTCTGTTTGGCATTATTCTCACTAAACAATTTTTGTGCCCAAGAGCATAATCTCTTGAGCGTAGCTCCAGAACCTCCAGATCATTCTAGTTTTGTGGTTGTAAATTCTGTTATACACATTCTCATGCAACTCCTGTACAATTCAGCACATACCTGCTGGAACTGATATTAATCGATTCTCTTTTGTAGTTGACGCAAACAGATGGTAATCTTACTGTTACTGAGGGCTGTGAGGAGCCTGTGCACCCTGATAGATTTCATAGATATATATTCTCACTATTTTGTTGACCTTAAATGGTTTAAAGCCAATGATTATAGGGATTTTATTCTTGCTTTGAAAACTATCGTTTGACAACAATTCAATTCTTTGATAATAGAAAAGAGTCATTATTTCACCATTGCGCTAGGTTGAAACCAAACAAAATTCTACATTCAGTCGTAGATAACTGGATATCTATGAAATTTGACAGATTTGCAGGTGATTTGAAAACTAAAACATCAGCCAAAAACAGTAACTGGGATTGTCAAAGTTGGTGTTCAGCTGATTACATGATACGCTTACTCGCTTAGCAGAAGCATATCATTAAAGCCTCCAGATTCTTAATAGCAGCAAACAAGCACTCCTTTAAGCTGTACAAGAACTTTATGTTCGTTTCAGAGCAACCATATACCAATTTGAGTAAAGTCAAGTGAAAATTCCCATCTTAGAGAGACTCTTAACCTGGACTCGAGGATGATGCTAGAATAGCATATGTATGAGAATTGAGAAAGTTGGAAATCCACTAAGCTTTTATCCTTTTCTTTTCGGTTGCCAAAATACATAGAAATCAGCACAAGAGAGAGACTAACACAGAAGGCTATCACCCTATCTGAACTGGAGACTTAGGGTGCGTTTGGTTCGCTGGTTTCAGGAAAGGGAATGGGAATCATTCCCTTTCAACCTGTTTGTTTGCCACTTTTTCCCTCAATCATTCCCCCATTTCATTTTTCAAAATACCCCAAAACCCCTCTTCCCCATTCCCCACCCCCCCCCCCCACTTTCCCATTCCATTCCCCACCCACCCTAACCCTAACCCTAACCCTAACACTAACACCCATATACGTCGGTGGTGGTCGGACGGCGACTGTCGGCGAGCACCGGGGAGTGGTCGGGGAGGCTCGGCGAGCACCGGGGAGTGGTCGGCGATGTGGTGCTGTGGTGGAGGAGGGAGATCGAGCGTTGGGGAGGGGGGCTGGAGCATCGGGGAGGGAGTTCGAGGTGGTGCTGTGGTCGGTGGTGGTCAGCGACCGTCGGCGAGGGGGGCTGGAGGGTCGGCGAGGGGTCAGCGACCGTCGGCGAGGGGGCGCGACTGTCGGCGAGGGAGTTCGAGCATCGGGGAGGGGGGCTGGAGCATCGGGGAGGGAGTTCGACGGTCGGCGATGGGGGCTGGATGGTCGGCGACGGTCGTCGACGGTCGGGGATGGGTCGACGACGGTTGGCGGAGTTCTGTGAGGGTTCGGCGGCGGTCGGAGCTGCGCTGTGGTGGTGGTGCTGTGGTGGAGGGAATGATTCCCTGGTTTTTGTAACAAACAACCTTCCAAATTTTCCACTTTGTCATTCCATTCCATTTCATTCACGTTGTTCATTTCATTCCGATTCTCTTCTGTGAACCAAACAGCCCCTTAATTTACTCGGAACGGAACTTTAATGTTACCTACGAGGTGGAATTAAGGTAACTTTTTCTTGGAAATTCTGTAAGAATGACGTTGACAACAAGCCAAACAAAACCAATCTGACATTGTGGTTATGTTGACTCCAAAAGTCCAAATTGGAGACTGACAATGAAACAGCTAACATAGAAGAATTTGCAAAACACCTCAATGAAAAAGAACCCAAGACAATGACAATGACAATGTAAAGTATGTAACATTAAGAGAATAAAGCCAAATTTACAAGATAACAATATACTGCTACAACTATCCTGTTTATTTTTATATTCACAGGTTTGATTACAAACATCAAGAGGACTACTTCCAAATTCATCTATATGCAGAATAGTACGTGAGTTTCAGATAATATGTACAGACAATCACCTGATCTTGCCAACTTAGTGAAACGAAAATATTGTACTCCGAAATGCATATGCAGAAAACCACAGAGGAAGTGTTGAATTGCTTTTCACCGAATACATTTCTTTCCAAACGCCAGTGCTCCTATTGTAGACCAGCACCTGCTTGTGTGTAGCTAGGAAAACACAATCACCCGTCTGACTTACAGGGAAAACTCCCGGTGCCAATCCTCTGATACATCTAAGACTCACCCTATCAACCATTCTCCATACTTGTTTCTCATAGTCCTCCATCACCCATACATCCATTGAAGCATCAGAAATTTGAACCACAGACAAGCAACCATATGATTCCAATAAATACATCCTATTTCCTTTTCCATAACTCATTTCATCTGGCAAATAAATCTTTCTCCAAATGTCGGTCTCCAAATCTAACACAATTACACACGAATAACTCACTGTCAACCAATGTAGCATCCCATTCACAAAAACAACCTGATTTCTGTTCATTTGGGTAAAATGTTCCTCCTGCAATGTCACAAACTTCCTCCATTGGTTTATCTCCGAGTTATACACCATACATATAAACGTTTTAGTCGGGCTATAACCGAAAGGGCGATGATACCCGGCCAACACAACACTGAATTTCCTAGTATCATACAAATCACAAGCTATACCAACCAAAGTAGCCTCACCGTCAGGATAAAACCTAGTGACAGGCCTCTCCCTACATTTGGGGAGCAATTTATACTCCCTAGTCACAGGATTACACACATAAAACACACCCTTATCAGGGATACTTGAGCAGCATAACAACCCATTACATGAGGCTCTAACTTTAACCCTATCTTTCAGAAAATTTAATGGAAATTCAGATACACCCTTTGAATAATCAACACAAATTAAGCTTGATTTAGACTCTGAAATCTCAGTAATTTCAACCAAAATCATAGAACTTCTAACTGACATTTCATTATACAGATGAACAAAGTACCTTTCTGAGAGCAATTGGTACCAATATTTACACACTGTCCTGAATCTGAAGACAGATTTTATTGGCAGTCTTGATAAAATCTGAAGAATTACTTCATCTGGGAAAAACCCATTTCTTGAATTGATTGAATTCATCTTCTAATTACTGTATAATCAAAAAAAAAAAAAAAAGGAGAAATATCAACAATTATACCAAAAAAATTGATCTTTTGACCCCAAAAAAATATTTTGAAAAAAAAAAGTTAGAAATATGCTTACCAATGAAGAAAACTTGTGAGCTGGGATTAGAAGATGCGGTTGTTCATAAGTATCAAGTGTCAAATAGGGTTTATATAAAATTAATTCAAAGAATTTTTTATTACTTCGTAATTTTTTATTTCCGGACAATATTGAGAGATGAGCAGTTTGTAGAAGAATGATGATGATGAAAGAAAACGTGGTCAGAGAAAAATTAAGACTTTAAGATTTCCGATTCTATCTGAGAGAATGTGCTCCACGTTGACTGAATTTGCCCCTAACTTTGTTTTGTATGACAAGAACACCATATGATCCATATCCATTTTTGGGCCCTTGCTTTAAGTAGAAATGGGTCAATTGTCCAATTGGACATTGTAGAATCATGGCTCGCAATTAGGGTAGGGTAGCTAATGAGGGCTGTGCAAAAAATCTGAAAAATCGGATCCAAATTCAAAACTCTGGAAAAATTGAATCAAAAATAAGGTTTTCTCTGATTTTTACATCACTTTGACTTGTGTAATATTTACATATTGTCTTTAACTTAATTTTTTTTACTATTATAATTGAATAAAAAAAATTGTTGCCTCTTATCCTGTAATATATCGATGGAATAGTTGCAATGTGTATTTTCAGAATTATTTATTTATTTATTTTTACAATATTTACTAGTAGACAATTAAAAATAGAATATTAATTCTTTTAGAAAAATAATCCGTAGAATATTAATGATCAAAGTTATGTCTCGATAAATGTGCTGGTTAAAGTGATGCAAATATTAAGATATGGATGGAGTAAGTGAACTTAAAACACCGGTTCCATGTGCCTTTAATTAAAAAGAAATATACGAATTGGTTTGATTTGGTTTTAGGATGTTATTTTGTGAAAGCGTGGATACTTGAATTCGTCGGCTACGTAGATTATGGATTATTTTATGCTTATAATTCTAAAATGAAAAGTGGAAGAGCTTCATGGTACTCCCTCCATTTTTAAATACTTGCTCCATTTCTCCATGTGCGGAGTTTTAGGAAAAATTGGAGAAAGTAATAAAATATGGAGGTAATGGGGTTGGTGGAAGAATAAAAAAATTGTTAAAAGCAAAAGTAGTTGAGAGAATTGGAGGAGAGAGAATATGAAATTAATAAAACATGATTTATGTTGGGTCCACTAGTTGAGAGAAATGTACTACTACATATTAAATATTGTAAAATCTTTCCAAATAAAGAAATGGAGCAAGTATTTAAAAACGGCCGAAAATGAAAAGTGGAGCAAATATTTAAAAACAAAGGGAGTATAAAATAGGGTTGAGCAAAATCATGCGAAAACCCAATCCAAAAAGTAGAGCACCCGATCCAATAATCATAATGTTTCAAGTACTCAATATGATAAATCGTTATCATTTATGGTTACTAGTAACAATTTAAAATTATAGTGTATGCACTAAATAAAACTAAACGTGTGTTGGTAACGGACACGTATTGGATGTGAATTTACCACGTCACCACCTACACAAATTGTGTATTGATAATCGATTCGTATTCAACATGAAATACACCACGTCACCACCTACACAAAATATCTATACAAATCACATATGATAGTGAAAATCATGATTCATTCAAAATATCAAACCATAGTGTAAAAACTTGTTAATTTACTCTAAATTTCTTCTTTTCTTTTCAATGTTAAAAATAACGTGACAGCTGATCCCAAAGAACACAGTAATAACGAGTCCAGAAAAACTCCCCTTTCCAGGGCAAAAGACAGGAAAAAACGAAAGGCCACAACTTGCCAGCATCCCTTCCCAAGCTCCATCGACAAAAAACGAGGAGAGAGAAAGTGTTTAGCTTCCTAAAGTCGTGGTTACCAGTTTTGCAGTGAATATTACTGCTGATGTTAATTTTAATTAATTAATTTTGCTAATTTCTCTCATCTTTCTCCGCCAAAAACTCTTTGTTTGGAGGAATGAGTTGCTGCTAACTACTTACTTCGACGCGATCTTTGATGCTTCACTACTACGCCGATTTTCGATTGCTCTTAAACCCTAATTGTTTAGCAGGTAATTCTCTGAATTGAATGAACTATTCCCTTTTTTTGTGATTAAATTTTGTTGGGTTTTTTGGAATTTTTCGGGTTTTTTTTTTTGTTTTGTTTTTGTGATGGGTCACATTTTGAATTGTTTTGATTTTGTTTGTTACAAACCTGCTGTTCTTGATTTTGTGGGTTATTGTTTTAGTATTGTTTTGGGCATTGGGTTAATTCGATGCTACGTAATTGAGAATTGTGTGGGTTTTAGTTGATCCAAGTTGCAATTTTTCAATTTTCATACGATTCTTTTGAATTGATTGCAAGGTTGGGAAGGATGGAAAGAAGCAAAGAATTAGTAATGAGGAGGAGACCCTGAAATTAAATTGTGGCAATGAATTGTTAATTGTGTCTTTTAGAGCTCATTGATAATCTAGGTTGCGAATTTTTGCGGTATTGTAAGCTTAGGGGAGTGGATATTTTGTTAATATTGTTGGAGGAACGAGGATGGAATTTCTGCCAAGGATGAAAACTCGGTGAATATAGTAGACTGATTAAATGGAGTTGAGGACGGTCACGAGTGAGTGAAGAGACAGTTGGCGTTCGACAATCGATGGTTTTGTCGTGTGCTGTCCCTATTTTTCTGGTGCAGCTGTTAGAGCTGTTAGATTCTAAGTGCTTTACTCTGTATGGAGGAATTTGTTAGAATTGAAAATAAAAGCTTTGAGGGTTAGGAAAGGAAGTAGAAAACCAAGCATAAAATTGAGTACCTAGGCTCATTTTAGTTGGTGTGACCAACAAATTAGCTTGGTTGTAGCTTTTCATGTGAGGAGAGGGAAGAAGGCATTTATGTAAAGCTGTTGTAAAATGTTAGCATAAAAAGTTTCCATGAGCTACTTTAGTTTATAATACGCCAAAAGCTTTACACTATCTGGTCAGTTATCCACACATAAGATTGTGGAGTTTAACCTGGAACCGAGTACATGTAAATTTATGTTGTTACTCACAATATCCATAAAGAATAAACAAAACAAAAGATTAGTTAAGTTGGAGATTTTCAGTTTTCTGAGTTTATGTACATAAAAAGTGTTTGGGATTTGTCTGAAGTAGTTGATAGTGTGAGTGGCAAGACTGGCAACAAACTCTATGTAAAAATTTAATGTAGAACGAGATTAGTGGTAGCAAGGAGATTTCAGGGTTTACGTTTTTCTTTTATTTAAATTGAACTTCAGGTTTTTTTTGTCTTTGATGTTTATGGTGGCTCTATGCTCAGGTTTCACAGTTGATTCTGAATACGATTTTATTTATTTATTTATTTTTTTTTTTACTTTGGTTGTTGTTTTCCTCAGGTTTATCTTGTCTCCCCTAATATATTTCTTAATTTCTAGTGCTTGTGGGCATCTTCTTGGTGAGCCTGGATATATATTTTCCTGCCTTCAACTCCATATATCACAAATGGTTGAATAGATAAGCAAGGATTTATTTTGTAAGGCCCTGGAAAAAGAAGTAAACTCAATACACCAAACACTACCCTGATGACCAAAGTCAACCTTATTTGGAATAATAGGTACTTGGTTTGTAGGGTATTTCTTGGATTACTAAATTACTAAAACTATAGAATTTGTTAATTTATTAGGATGGCTTATCTTCGCTTATTTTCACTTTATGAAAAAATATTTAAGTGTGAAAATTGTCAATTAAATAGCTAAATTTCCTTGATGTATTGTACATCTCATCTATATACAATATACAGATAGATAGATAGATCACCTTATCAAAGTAGACCTAATACTTTTCTCTAAATGGAAGATCCCTTTCTTTATTGCTTTTGAGTTACCAGCTCAAATTGAATCAGCAATTGATGAATACCTTACTTATATTATTTGGAAATTTTTAATAAAATAGTCGAGTTTAATTCATGGACACACCTTGTCGGACACGAGTTCTCAAGTCTGAGTGACAGTTGTTTATTCCATCCTTTTTTTTTCTTTTTTTCTTTTTTTTTTTTTTTATGTTGTGTGTGTACGTAATGATTAATGAAATTGTATCAAGTTACATTTTTTTTTTATCCAAATCATTGTATGTATTTCAAATTTTTACTAGAGACAAATTTATGGACCTCTCTCATTATTATTTCAGATAGGAATATTGTACTGTGTGTTGCGTGATGATCATGCGATAAGGTATTTTATTCATTTGTGCAAACAACTTGCAAACTGCTACTCATGGCTCGGAGAGGAAATCAACCGAAAAGGGGTATTGATCAGACTTCTTCAAAGAGTAAAAAAAAGGACCCAGATGTTAAAGGTTTTGTTGATGAACTTCTGAGTGGTGAACATCTTAACTCTCCTCTGACTGACTGTGCTAGTAGGACCTCTGTTGCAGGAGATGGGAGAAAAAAGAACAAAAAATCTAAAAATGTTTCCAAGAAAAGTGAGCTGAAGGTTGATGGCGTAGAAGTTGGCTCCTCAGTCCCTGACAATAGTGTCTCTGGAGAGAGTATGGAAAAGCTTCCAAGGGACTTTAATACATCACATGTCAGTAACAATAGCTCAGGAAATCATGATGGTGCTGATAATCATAGAGTAAATGGATCTTTTATAGCTGGCAGAACTGATAAATTGGGGATTTTTCGTATGATGGTACTTGAAAACCTGAGACATTATGCCCTGTCTATCTTAAGGATATCTCGTGGATGGCTGGAAAGGAAACAACCAGTTTTCGCTGCTGTAGTGAGAAATGTTTACAAATTTCGTAAGTATATACAATTAAAACTTGTTCACACATATCCTATTGTTCTGAAGTGGCTTTTCCATCTCGGCAACATTCTGCTCCTTGTGTCAATGGTTTGGTTGGATTGTGCTTTTCGTGGCATGGACTCCTTTCTGCGGATGGGAACAACTTCCTTCTTTTCTATCCTGTGGTTCAGCATACTTTCCATCATTGCAATGATTGGGATGTTCAAGTTTCTGTTGGTGTTGGTAAGCCCTTTGTTCACCTATATCATTGTCTAAACTTTAAACTGGGTCCTTTTCATTTAGACCCTTAAGAATTGATTTATTTCTTAGATATAAATTCCATGCTTTCTTCTGCTCAAGGGGTTTGTTCAATTGTGTTTCATGAGGCTAAGCTAGATGTAACATGTACATATGAGGGGTTGTTCGTACCAAATTTGAAGTAAATAATATTCACCTCTGATCTTTTGCAGCTATGTATTTTTCTTTCTATAATTACCCCACATTTTGAAAATTCTGTATCTGTTAGGCCATCAAGGAGACAGGGACATCCTAAAGGAGCGTACTTGAGCATTGTCTATGAATACTGTGGCTAGATTTTGACATTAGTGGATTTGTATGGTCTTCCAACTGTTTTAGAAACCCTTTTCCACTGAATGTTGATATTCATATTTGCTTGAAGGAACAATTTTTAATTTGCTTCCATGATGGAAATGCAACAACAGTACCCATGTTTACCTTATAGGAATATAGGATGTACCACTTCCTTACTGACAAATTTCTATGCAGGCTTTTGCTGCATTAATTGGAGTTTTGGTGGGCTATATCATTTCATTGCTGGTAATTGTTATTGCTGGAGGAGTATTCCTTTGGATATATGGAAGTTTTTGGACCACATCTGTTGTCATCATTCTTGCCGGTGATGGCTCTTAATCTTTTCACATGTTCGAATTGACTTTATATCTTGGAATATTCAACTATTTTTCCATAAATTTGACATTCTTCTGGTTCACGTAAACTATGCAGGATTGGCATTTATATTGAGTTGCGAACGCATTTCCTTATCAATTCTTACTGTATATTCAGTATATTGTGCTTGGGCATATGTTGGATGGCTTGGGGTGCTTTTGGGTTTCAATCTGTCATTCATTTCAAGTGATGCACTTATATACTTCCTGAAAAATAACATAGATGAACGGAGAAGTAAGTCATCTGAACGAGCAGATGGAGTTCAAGGTGATCGAAGCTATTTTAACGGTGAAGCACAGTTTCAGTACTCGGACGTTGGTTCACGAAAGTCAATGGATCGTAATGCTGGTGTTGCTTCTACCAGTGGGGCTGATTCTGAGATTTCATCTGAAGATGAAGTTGTTCGTTTATTAAATTGTACTGATCACTACTCAGCATTGGGCTTGTCTCGGTATCAGCAAGTAGATGAGTCTGTACTGAAGAAAGAGTACAGAAAAAAGGTACATTATTGTTCTGTGTTTGCTTTTGGGTGATGGGTTTATATATGTCTCCATATGAAATTGATTACTACTTGCACTATTTTGGGATGTCCCGAAAAGTTGTTACCTTCCCTTAAATAATTATAGTTTATGATTTGATTTCTTAATGTGACCTTACTGAAATTAAGTGTTGGGAAGATGATAGAAATAACACAACTGTTGTAATGAATATATGTGTAAAAATGTCATACCATTAAGTTGCTAATCATGGAAAGATTGGAATATATGAAAACTAATTATCTGCTCAGTTTGAGATTAGTTGTCATTGTTTGGAGGTTCCCTGAGCACCATGCTTGTTTCTGGGGTATTTTTCTTTTTATTATTATTCTGCTTGTGTACAAGTCTGCGATATATACTTCCTTTTTGGTAAATTTTTTTGTTAATTTGTTTGTTATATCATCAGGCTATGCTTGTTCATCCTGATAAAAATATGGGAAATGAAAAGGCTGCAGAAGCTTTTAAGAAACTTCAAAATGCATATGAGGTAATATACTACCTGTTTTTTTTTGGTATCATGGAGAGTTTATGTTTAGCTTCTTATATCTTGTTGGGAAGTTTACTGAAGTTGTATTGTTCTTATAGGTTTTGCTAGATTCTTTGAAGCGAAAAGCTTACGATGATGAACTTAGGAAGGAAGAGTTACTGAGTTATTTCTGCCGGTTTCAGGGTTCTTCTCAAAAGGTTTGATTTGTTTTTATAATTTTGATGTCCCTTTATACAGATTTTGTTCATCTTTGGTTACCCTATGATTTGTCATCTTAAGAGCAACAGCAATAAATAATCTGTTTGGATCGGACCAATGGAGTGTGGGAGGTCCAATTTTTGCAGCCTTTTCCTTTCACCTCTATCTAACTGGAGTCAGCTAGTCAGGATGGTTACGCTGTTAATAGACCTGCAAAAATATGTTATTTGAAGGCAAAAATGACTAGAAACGGAAATACCTGTAATTTTACAAGTACCATATTGATTCTAATAGAACTAGTGGTCTAGTCATAGAGTATGAAGTTGTAGTATTCTCACGAAAAGAGGAAAAAGCCCCTAATAGCAAAAATTGATTGTAATAAGATCTATGGTGCACTTCTCTGCTTTGGCTGTCCACTGTTTATATTTTACACAATTTTCTTCATTAATCATTTCATCATTATAATTACAACATTCCAAGAAGAAACAAATTCATTGTCCCTTCATTTGGACTCTCAACTCTATTCAATTGGGAAACTTGTATTCAGTTTCAACATGATCTGATTTTGCAAAGAAACTTAAACTAAGCATACAAGGTTAGTTTTTGGCCTTAATTTTGGAATGTTTTCATTTGCAGAGTGGACGTCATGGCTTATTTCCTAATGGTTTTGCACGCTCAGAGGGGGATGGAAAAGACCCTCTGGGGGAGGCAAGAAGAATTGCATGCAAGAAGTGTGGGAGCTTTCACATATGGTTCCAAACAAAGAAATCTAAATTAAAAGCAAGATGGTGCCAGGTTTGTGCTGTTTAGCCTAGTTTTCCTGTCAACTCCTGTTGAGAACAACTTACCTCTTTATTATTGAAATGTATATGCTGATTGCGTATAAAATGCTGAAGGATTGTGAGGAATTACATCAAGCTAAAGATGGGGATGGATGGGTTGAACAGTCTTCCCAACCTTTGCTTTTCGGAATACTACGGAAGGTATTACAGAAATCATATTTATATCTTATGATGACATGATGCTTATATTTAGTTTTACCTTATTTTCCGGCCTCCTCCCTTCTCTCAAAAGCACACATAAAATGAAAAGATGAGGAAGCTAGGTAAGTTGTAGAGGAATGTTATGTTGAATAAATGCCGAGTGTGAATATTTCTGTTTTTTGCAATTCTCTCACTTGAAAAAGATGCTATTATTTTTGCTCCAACTGGAGGTTTTTTCATTCTGATTTTGATGTAAATGGCCTGTAGGTTGATGTACCTGTTGCATATGTTTGTGCCGATGGCAGAGTATATGATGCCACTGAGTGGTATATCTGTCAGGTATATATCCCAGCCCTTGTAGGAAACTCGGATTCATTTGAATTATTGGAAATATTATCTGTTATCAATATTTCTGAATCCAGGAAGAAAAGTTCAATTTTTTTGTTCCCCGCAATGATGCTATGAATACTTGTTTGCAATCTTTGCATCTTCCATGAGCTTGACTTTCCACTGCTGCAAATTTTCATTGTAGGGAATGAGATGCCCGGCTAACTCACACAAACCAAGTTTTCATGTTAACACTAGCATAACAAAGAACAGTTTTGGGAAAGGATCATCTACATCACATAGAGGTGGTGGGGTGGAGGCGGCAGCAGCAAATATGGAAGAAAATATGACCGAGGAAGAGTTCTTCGAGTGGTTACAGAACGCTATGCAAACAGGAATGTTTGAGAACTTTAATGGGGTTAATCTGAATGAGAGTTCACAAAGTAGCACCAAAAACGACACAAAAACTGGTAGTGCAAATACTAGTGGTGGTGGTAGTGCTAGCAGCAGTAGGAAAAAGAAAAAGGGTAAAAAACCGTGGTAAACTTAACAAATCATCCTTCTATGAACCCATCTTGATTTCTGTAAGTGAGGAGGAGGGAGAGTGAATGAAGAGATTCGACATGTCAAATACCCGGTCTTGTAATGTGGTGTGAAAATGTACACTGCAATTGAGATAGCCATGCGCAGGTTGTATATTTTCTGTTGTTTGACAGTCTTTAGATGATCATTATACTCGACAGAATGTAACGCTCTGAAAAAAATGGCAATTCTGTTTTCCGTGGAATCGTAAGATAAACTGGCAAAAAAATATACAAGTAGAAGTTTACCAGCCTAGCCGTATAAATTTAATTCTGAATATCTTATATTATCTATAAATCTAATGCAACTTTAATGTGTCAAGTTAAGCGTTGGGAAATTCTGCTGCATATCAGTAATTTGTCTCTGACTGCAGCTAATTCTAATTTCTAAGCAAATGTGTTTGATCTTCAATCTTTTTAAGCACATCCACAATGAGCTTATAGTGAACTTAACTACAATCTCCTAATATCACAGGACTCCTTATATATCAGTCCAAACGAAGTAGATAAATTGGTACTCAATGGTAGAGCTTTCACTTTCCAAGTTTGATTTAAATCTCATTACCCTCAACTTTTTATAGTTGTACGAAAGTATTAGTTTTTCATTGTGGAAAAATTCTCTATTAGTTATAGGTACATGTTATTTGCCTCATTTGATTAATTCAAATGCAAATCACTAAATGAAATATATTAGGTACTTGCATAAAATTTACTTCGTATAATTGCAACATTTTTTATAAGGGAAATGATATACATAGTTTTTAGAATTATATGTAAGCAATAGTAGGGAAAACCGAAAAATATATAAAATGGAGTAACATTTATTATATCGAATTACGCTTGATTTTCTCATGTATTCTAAATCAATACGAAGTACCATTGTACCAAATTATAAAATATATATAATGATTATTGTTACTATACATCCATCGATTTAATCCCTCACTAGTCACTAGTAATTTTTCAATGCTACCATATCTCTCTCACCCTTTAATTCTCCCCATTACAAAATGATTAAAAAAAATTTACTCATTTATTTCCACGGTTTTACTACGGAGTATTAACGAATCGTGCATTGCATAGGTGAAAAAGCTATAGTAGTCAGTACTAAACCATTCAAGTAACACACTTAATTTGGCTTATATTATCCCAAATTTCTACTCCAGTTTATAGAAGAAGGCGCGCTCCCTGTGTTATCCATATTCCACAGGCAACCCCCAATTCTCCATTACTCACTTCCAATGGAGACCCTTTTTGGTTCATCCTCCAAAGCAGCAACCACTTTTCTCTCTCATCCCCCTAAAAATTCATCTGGGTTTTCTTCATCTGGCAACAATTGCTTGAAATTTCGAAATGGGTACTCATCTTTTGGACCAATTTCATCAAATAAGGTACTTTTTAGAAGCTCATTAATGGTGGAAGCTAAAAAGGGTGACGATAAAAAGAGCAAGAACAATAAGATTGACTCTCATAATTTTGCTCCTAAACCTGATGAAGCTATTGGCCCTTTTCCTGAAGCTGTCTTACTTAGAGAGGTTTACTTTCAATCTTTTGATTAATTTTGCTTATATTTTGTAATTTCTATTTGTAATTGTGTTTTTGAGATTGTTTTTGTTCTTAATTTGGGTATTATTTTATGATATTTGAGGGTGTTTTTGTTGAGCAATTTGTTAGCTTCTCAATTTTATTTAGCTGGATCCTAATTTCTGCGTAATGAAGTTGGAAATTTCGATTATTGTTAATAATTTCTGTACTGGTATTTGATTTTGTAATTTTTTTTTTCATCCTCGGGTGAAGTACTTTTTAGGTTAGAATTGGTTATAAGATGTTAGTCGGACTTAGGTACGTAGACATTGGTACATGTCTAAGTGTTCGACTCAAATATTATGCGAAAAGTTACCATGATTTTGGCCCAAAATTATGTTTCGAAGTGTCATTACCCATGTCAGTGTGTTAAAGATATGACAATCAATACTTGAGGTGAAATGAAGAGTCTTTGTAACAAAGTTGTGAGCTCAAAAGTGTGTTCACTATTGATGTGGCTGGAATTTCTAGATTGCTTATTGCAGTTGAGTGATGGCTTCAATGTTCATGATTTCATAAATCAACTCAACTAAACTACTTATATATTTCCTTGTGTTTTTCAGAAAAATGTTCAGGATGATGGTAGAGCTCTGCCCGAATTTGCTGATGACGAAGAGCGTAAGTGATTTAACTTTGAGATTCTGTCCTTTTGTGTAAAATAAGTTTTGCTATGGCTAAATCTGTCTGTTTGTTTTGCAGAAGAACTATTTGAATTTCTAAACCTTCAGCTGGAAAGTGATTTGAATGTTGATCAGAGTAAGCCCATTCAACAATTCAGTTTATAAGTCCATTTGAGATTTTATGCTTGCTATCAGTAATTCAGTATTCCACAACTTAAAGGACACAGTCCACAAGTGATGTGAAAGACTATACATGTACTCCTCTTTTGTTACCCATCCCCCAAATGGAAGAATAAAATCGATGAATGATGTTGCTTGAGTGGTAATATTGCTATTACCTTTTTGTTTCTGGCCATTTTTTTCAGTCCACATTGATTTTTCACTTGCCAATGCTATTTAATTTTTTGTAGTTTTTGACACGGTGATATAGCAGCTATAAGTATACATTTTAATGCAATTGAACAAATAAAAAATAACTAACTAGTTCTAAAACAACGATACTAAAGTAAGGGAGTTCCCATGCACCATATATTTGTCTCTTTTATTTTTTCCTCCAGGGTCTGTCCGGACTCTAGATTATCTTGCAAGTCTGTGTAGTAAAACTGCACATTTTTTTGTCTGGAATTTGCCATGTTGCTGGTACTTGTATTTGTCAAAGGATGAAGCTATGAACATCATCTCCAAATTTCCTAGAGGAATAATTTGACTTAAAAATTTTAGTTATAACAAGCTAATAATTTCCCTAAAGAACTTTTCTCCTGTCCAACTAATTGGACTTATTGCTGTGTGAAGCTGGAATTGAAATGAAGCCGAAATCAGTTGATATTGTTTTAATAAAGCCTTGTGTGTGTGTGTGTTTTCTTTCTTCTTCTTCATTTTTTTTTTTTTTTTTTTTTTTTTTTTGTATCCTAGGAGTTCTTGTTGTCTTCGTCATAGATATTTCTAACGGAATGCGCACCTGTGCAAGTGCCTATACAATCACTAGTTAAGGAAAGATGAAGGCAGGATAAGAGAAAATAATGAAGAAACAAAGATACTTCTGATTTCTGCTGACATTTCTTTTGCTGTTTTTATGTAATTAGCCCCTGCTTGGTTGCACACATAGTAGTACTCTTACAAAGTTACAAGTCTAGAGCTAATACTGCGTTTCTTTATATGCCCTTCAGAAGCTATATCTTCATCTATTTTTTCCCTTATCTGATACAGTGCGTCACTACGAAGTGGTTTATTTGATCCATCAAGACTATAAGGACAAGGTCGAAGATGTGAATTCCAAGATACAAGGTAATTAATCGCGATGTATTTCTTTTTATATCAACATTGAATTTAGTGTCTGATGGATTTCTTCTCTCATTATTGACATCAATGCTTGCTGTTGCAATGTGCTAAGTGGGCCATGCATGTTCAATTTCCTTACTGTTGGAGAACTTGAAGCATTCCATAAAGCTCGCTAGAAGATTTATGGAGTTACATGTCTCACTATAAATGTCATGTGCATAAATGTCTTTGAGTTTCAACAAAATAACACTTTGATACTTCACTAGGCCCTTCAAATGACTTGAAGAGCCAAATCATGATTCTGTGACCAGGTACTAGAAATAAAAGAAGTCCAGTAGGGTGAAAGTAATTGTTGTACTAACATTGTCAGCAATTCATACCATCGCAATTGGTTATTAATGGAATTTTGAAACCATCTTTTAGTTTGATTGGCATTCTGTTTGAAAATTGAAGTTTGCAAATGAAATGGCATAAAACTTTGTTTGCGGATGATATCGTTTTGGTGGATGAAACTAAAAATGGGGTTAAGGCCAAGTTGGAGCAATGGAGGCAAAGGTTGGAATCTATAGGGTTTAAGCTAAGTTGGAATAAGAATGAATATTTGGTATGTCGTTTTGGTACTCAGAGGGGGACAAGTGATGAAGTGGTGAGTTTGGATGGAAAGGAATTAACCATGAGTGAATATTTTTAGTATCTTGGGTCGATCATCGGTGACATTGTCAACACGTGGCCCACAGGATTAAGTCAGGGTGGCTTAAATGGAGAGCGACCACGGGAGTGTTATGTGACCGAAGCATTCCCTTACAGTTGAAGGGAAAATTCTATGGGACTGGCATAGACCGGTGTTGCTCTTGGTACAAAATGTCGGGCTTCTAAGAAGGAGCACATTAAAAAGATGGAAGTTACAGAAATGCGCATGTTAAGGTGGATGTGTGGGAACACTTTAAGAGATAGAATCAGAAATGAGGTTATTCGCAAGAAAGTAGGTGTGGCAGGCATTGCAGACAAACTAAGGGAAAATCGCCTGCGTTGGTTTGGGCATGTAAGACGGAGACCCGAGGGTGCACTGGTTCGAAGAGTGGAAAAGTGGGACCATAGAGGGATTAAACGAGGGAGAGGGAGGCCGAAAATGACTTGGTTAGAAAGAGTAAGGAAGGACATGAAGTATATGGATTTGCATGAGGATGAAGCATTGGATTGTAAGGGGTGGAGGAGGAAGATTTTTGTGGATGACTACACGGAATAATCAAATTTGGTTCATGTAGCCGACCCCACTTATGGGATTAAGGCTTTGATTGATTGATTGATTGTTATTGTTATTGTTATTGTTATTATTATTGTTATTGTTGTTGTTATTGTTATTGTTATTGTTATTGTTATTATTATTATTATGACAGGCATAGTGACAGGAAATTAATTAATTTGATGTAGGAAAATTTGATCCTATAGAGTTTCAAATAAACTGACAAGGACTGCTTGTTTTAGAGGATTTAGACACTACAGTTTAAGTGGTGCTATTGCTTTTAACATTGTATGTCTCACAGAGTCACACTTTGCTCACTCTTTTAGATTCATGCATGATTTAGGTGTTTTTGGTTTGTAATATTATTTCCTTTGTTTATTGAAAAGAATGATGCATCAGCTACCCTTGAATTTTTAATCTAGCAATGGCATCAAACTTTTCTATATCCTTGATTTTGTGGTTTAACACAAATGTGACATAATTCGTATATACAGAGTATCTTGGAAATTGAGTTCTCTATAATTTTTAAAC